CCACGGCGCGGGAAGTGGGCGGGAAGGGGGGGGGGGGGGGGGGGGATGACAAAATCCCCCAAATACCCGCCCCCAACCACCTCATGGCTTTTTCTTTAATTAAATCAGAATGGAAGCTCTTGCAACACGTTCATGCCCTTTGCCAGCTGGTTGCAAATACAGCATTGCCGGAGTTTAGGGGTTTGGCTTTCTGTTTACATGCTCCTGCCCCTCCAACAGGCACACCAGCAAGGTGCAACCTCTCCTTTCTCAAGGAGGTTTTGGAAACCCACGCCAGTACAGGCTCCTTTGATCTGTTGTTGGCCCTGCATTAGCCCTGACACCATGGGGCTTTATCTCTGGCAGCACAGTGACAAGCAGCTAAGGGCAAAGAAAATTTCCATCTGGAAGGCTAAGAAGCACTACTAACTTTAAGGCTCCCACTAAATCAAGCCCATGACCTTTTGCTCCTTCTCCTCTTGTACCTGACAAATGGGCCAGATTACAAAACATGGATGGACACAAGAAGCAAAAGCAAACCTTGCAGTTATCCCACCACCGGCACGCAAGGTGGGGGATGTTGGTGAGCTGCTATCGGGGTGCCTGCTGGTACAGGGCCGTGTGCTGCCAGCTCCAGCCCACCTCACACCTCCGAAATTCTGTGCCTACTTAACATGAGAGCAGATGCACTGAGCTGAGCCACGGTCCATCAGCGCCCGAAGCTCGGGAAAGCAAGAGTAAGCCTTCTCCAACGGCAACCCTGTGGTCACACTAGCATCCCTTGAACCCACTCATCCTCCCTGAGCGCCACACATTCTTCAGTCACCCGAATTTTTTCACATTATTCAGGACCTTCCTTGTCCTGCTGCATGAGAACTGCACTGAAAGCCCCCAAATTACCAGGAGAAGCAGTAAATACTGCTCCCTGCTCGGATCTCTGAGCAAAGTCATGTTAGTATTCCTGTGAGACTGAGAAAGCCGTGTCTTGCTGCAGCTTTCCCAAGGAAAAGCCCAGCTGCACAACTCCTTGCACACCCAGCAGCTGCTCACAACGCTGAGCTCCCCAACAGGTTTCTCTAATATTTCCTTTCCCCTGATGATTAGAAATCTGTTTTTCTGAGCAACATGCCTGACAATGGTTGACCAGTGTCTCCTTCCCGGTTGGATGCAAGCAGAGCAGGGCCAGCAGCCTGGCAGGATCCAGCTCCTAATAATTTAAATTCAATGTCATCAGCCAAAGTTTTGGTGTGGGTCCCTTCTAGATCATCACCGCTGATATCTGCAAGTTTATTTTCCTCTTGCTTAACTGGGAAGCACATCCTATGCCAGTGACTTTCAGGGCTAGCCCACTCTATGTCCCAGATGGACCACTTGGCTCCTTCTCGCAGGGTTTTGATGTGAGGTCCAAGGTGATGCACTTGGGTTTTTTAAAGTGTGGAACAGAAATCAAAATGCGGGGGGAGAAGAAATCAGCCAATGAATTTTCCTGATCTTTATACTGTGGGTAAGGCTCTCAAATAAGGTTTTACTTAAAGATAAAAAATCCCTCAAACTCACCATGTTTGCATGCACACATCCCCCAGGCCCTCCATCATCCCCCAGGAAGAACCAGATTGTCCCCAGTCCCCTCCACCAGACAATAGCATGGTTAAATATAGCAAATACAATAAAATCTAACCCTGTGACGATCTACAGATGGTAAAAAGGAGGTTTAAAGCAAAAGGGTGGTACAAAGGAACCCCATGACACCAGGGGCAGCTGCCTGCTGCTGCCAGAGTGGTGTGGGAACCAGGGAAGGGGGCTGGGGAGCAAAAAGGGCTGGACCACACTCCGAGGAGGTAAAGAAAAAAATTGCATAGGGAGCAAACAATACTCAAAGCTGTATCTTTGTACAAGCACCGTGGCGCTTTTGGGATTTTCCCTAGGAAATCCTGGAATGCAATACACAGGGAGTCACAGAGCCTGTCACTAAGGATGGTGGAGGTGCAGAATGGCCAAGGTTGGAAGAGGAGCTGGGGGCCACAGCTTCCAGCGCCTACTGGAACTGAGAATGCACAGATGAAAAACACAGGGGTTTGGACATGACGTCAGCTTTTCTCACTAAAAAAACACAGCAACCAACTAGGTCGCGCTGGAAAAGCTTGCTTTTTTTAATTCAAATGTCAACCTGTCATCAGGGCGTCAAAATTAAACAAGCCAGTTACTGTCTGGCTGTGTGTACACCCTGAGACAGTCATGCTCTTGGCAGGAGCGGGATGCTGCTGGCCTCTGCCCGATGCTGCAGCCAGTGCTGATGGCAAGAGTTTGCCATATCACCAAACGCTTTGCAAATTGAGGGTTTGCTTTAATTGCTCACTTCAGCTGCAGGAACATCTCAACCATGATAGCCTCCAGGGCATAAACAAGTAGTGTTTAATAATACTGCTTAGCACTTTTACTGCTTTTACTTCTTCAAAGCACATCTAACTGAGCTTTCTCTGCATACAAGCACCATTTCCAAAGGTTTCCTATTCCTTTTTTTTTTTTTTTGTTGGCTGCATGAGCTAGAAAATCAGGTTGTAACTTCAGCTACATGGTGGGTCAAGAAGCCTGGTTACCCCTGCAGCTGGGTTCCACCAGAGCAGAAGGATTTCCGACATCTGCCATGAGGTCCAGGCTCTGGGTAAGGAAAAAAAAATGGAAGCATTCCTTGGAAGGAAAAAAAAAAAAAAAAAAGCAGGATTTGATCAGGCGCTGGACTTTGATCCCCCAGATCTTCCTTGGTTCAACAGAAGAGGTAAGTGAAGATGACAACAAGAGTGATGGGTATTAGCAGTTGCCTTGCCCAGCACCCTCCCAGCTGAAATGATGAATCAAGTAGTAGCTCACACCAACAGCCCAGACCGGGGGGGGCAGTTAGCAAAGAGTAATGGTACCAGTCAGCTGTATGGTGCCGATTCTTGACTGTGAAGTAGAGGTTGGGTCTTGGTTCAACAGAAAGATAGGATCTCAGTTCTCAGTATGCAAGAAGAAAACAAAATCCCCAAATGAGCAATATTTTTCATGTCAGCTGCTCACTACATATGTCTGAAGTCAATCTGATCTACCAAATTTATTACCAGGCTTGGTCTACAAACAGAGACCACTAGTAACACAGAAGCAATAATATGAGCTATCAAAGAAACCACATTTATCTCCTCTCTCCTAAAGTGGGTTTCCAAAGGTCCAACCTGACTTAGTCATTCAAGCCTCTGATTTTTTATTTTAGTTTTAAAAACTTTATGCGCTTAAATTATTTTCAGAACTTTAAAAACTGTATCCCAAGTGCTTTCAGGATTGGTACTTTGTTAGAAAAAAAACCCAACTAAAAACCAAACAATCAAAGTCCTGGTAGATTAGAGCTGACATCTCATCCTTCCACCTACTGTTTTCCAAAGATATTCCCTATCTTTCACAAATAAGAAATTCCACTGGAGCCAGGGGAAGCCTTCCAGCGAGTGTATACTTTTAAAGACATCTCGATGAGCTCAAATACATGCTTTTTAACAAAGGCAGAACTGCTGAAAATATAAAGGATGTTTTTCTTTCTCCTAATCAAATTAATAAAGCCCAACTAAAAAAAAATGCAATCCCTATAAATGCATAGCAAGCTCCAAATTTTCTTCAAATACTTGAAAAGCAAAATAACTTTCACAAATGTATCAACATAAAGGAGAATGTTCCCAACCAACAAATACAAGGAGCTACTTTAAAAAATAATTAGAAAAAAAAATACAAGCTACATTTTCTGCCATAGGCTCTGTTCTTCAGGAAAAGACCGCAGAATATTTAAGCAAACTGTCTGGGTTAATGACAGCTGATGTCCCATATCCCATAGCAGTAGTCATGACCTTCAGGCCTCCCGTGACTGACGGGCTGACCCCAATCACTCCAGGGTGCAAGGTAAATGACAACCAAAGAAGAAAAAGAAAGAGAAGAGAAAGAAAACTTGCTGCCGGCTTTGTAGCCAAGCTTCCTAATAAAACCTAATTCAAGCTGTCAGGGTGAAATGAAGAAAGTGTCAACAGGGGTTTTCAGAGAAATATTCCAAATGTTTGGCTAGAAAAGCCAAGAGCTGGGCTCCCTTCCCCCAGCCCAACACCGCTCCTCAAAAAGGCCTGGAAAATCCAATGTCGAAAGGAATTTTAATAATATGTCTGGGGGGACCCCTGAGGAGGAACCCAAAGGGACACTTTTCTTCCCTTCCCTGACAAACCCAATCATCTCCATAATGGTGAAGAGCACAAAACTCACGAGGGAAGTGCCAATGGAGGGGTTCGGTGAAACCAGCATCCGTGTGAAATCAGACCATTCTGCCGGCTTTAGAAACTGAGATCTTTAATGGTGACCCACAGGTTAAGAGCCCTGGGAGCCACCAAAGAGAACAACCTGCCACCATTGAAAGGTTGAGATTAAATATGGGGTGAGAAATGTCCTATGCTTCCACATCAACCAACAAGCTGCCACGTCCTCTAGCAGACAATGGAGAGAAAGTGGATCTCCAAATTACTATCCCTCTCACAAAGGAAGAGAAATTAAAACCCCGAAGAAGTCTAGTGTAGGCACTGAAACCGCTGGCGAGTTCCCAGAACACTGTCCTAGCTTCACATCAGCACTGGGATAATGTCCAGCGTCAGGCCATGGCCAGGACAACCCAACCTCTCACTAGTAAGGTGCTGCAAACGGTCAGAGGGGAAGAAGGACCACTCCTTCAAGTAAAAATCCCATTATTTTTTTATATACCTCTACCAAGGCAAAGACATTATTGGGTGTAAAAAGAAAGCATGAACTTGCAGTTTCTGGCTAATATAGTCATCTTCCAATCTCACACACATGGGCAAAACCAGCATTAACACACCTTGGGATGAAGAAGGGAGGGTAAACACATGGAATATTTTGGAGCCTTTAAAAAAAAAAATCAGATTATTGGTATATAAACTCCCATGGGGAAAAAAGAAAATCACAAACCTTAAACCAGCAGCTGAAACTGATTAACACTCAGGGCAAATCAAAACTTCAAGTTTTCTTGTCAATGTGCTCCTTGAGGGACAGTGTCAGGAGGTAGCATGCCAGTTGTAGATCTTATATCAGGCACTGACCCAATGACAAGTGGACATCACTATCTTCCTCAAGACAACTATATTCATCTATTTAGTACAACTGACTCAGAAACATCTCAGAGGGAAAAGCCTCCTCGCTTTTTACACAGCTAGCATGGTCCTGGGCTATTTTTCCCTATATGAGGCAGCTATTTTTGAAGACTTCGACAGCCCTTTGTACATTAAGGATGCCACTGCTCCAAGGAGACTACCAGCCGCTTCCAGCCTGGACAGGGTATATCCAAGCAGTTGAGCAGCATGAAGGGTTGAAGAAGAGAATTCGTATTTTAAACCTTGTTGAGATCTTTCACTGCAGACAAAAACTCCGTATTACAACCATTATCACACTCATCCCCTACCTCAGATGAAGGTCTTCTGAAAACTTCAGACAGGCGTAGATGAATTCCTTAATCTGATTGTAAACTTTAGGCACAAACTCAGAAAAGGGGAACTTCTTTGGAAACGGTTGCTGTAAAATACAGGAGAGAATTCAAATCAAAGAACAGATATTTAACAGGAGTGACGACTGCTTTCCAACAGCATGTTCCAAGCAGTCAAATTAATTCTAGTATTTAGTTAAGTCCAGCAGTGAAACAACAAGCCAGCATTTATTGTATATTATATAAACATTTCAGGCAAGTGAAGACCAGATAATCACTTACAAATGGCACACGGGTGCATTAGGGATTTGGAGTCTGAAACAGATTGGAAGGAAACTTGCAGCTAGGAGGGAGCAGACAGCACAGGAGGACCCTCATTCCCTCTCCCAGCTCCCTAAATCATATGAAAAAACCGTGTTGGAGAACTCCTTGACTTTTATCTCCCACCATGCACGAGGCGTTTTGCTTGGTCACTTCCCACAGTTGCTGCCCAAGGTGAGCAGTTGCATACAACACCAACAGCCAAGAGGAAACAGGTGTCCTACACCAAATTTTTCCAACCAGCTTTTACCCATAGCAAACACATGGCTGGGAGACGTAGAGCATAATAGTAAGAAGCTGGACCCCATGATATAGTTTTGGGGGGAAGGATACAGACTTTTTGAAATCTGAACACCTGACTTGGAACAAAAACCCTCCCAGTCCTAATTAAGTTCACCAGGCTTGGAGCTCACTGACTGACAGATGTGGAGCAGAAGGCCAAGCAGGCTTTTAAGGGACACTGGCTAGGTTAAATTTGCCTACACTTAGATTTTGCAAGCACACACTTCTACAAAAGCCAAGATATACCACTTTGTTGGGCTTTCTTTTTTTTTTTAAATATGAGATTAAAACAAATAAAGGTCAATAACACTTCATAAAATGGGAATAAAATACCAATGGAAGCAGATATTTCTAGTCTCTTGTCTACTGCAAGCACTGTTCAGCTGCAACAGTACACTGTGATCTGAAAACAAAATAGATCAGGTATTGCTATACACACTTTCCTCATCCACACCAGGAGAAATGCATCACATGGAAAGTATATTTGTTCTTTTTCCCTTTTTCTGTTGTTGTTGTTTATTTGGTTTGGGGTTTGGGGTTTGTTGTTTTGTTTTGGGGTTTTTCCCTTTTTCTGTTTTTTTTGTTGTTGTTTATTTGGTTTGGGGGTTTGGGTTTGTTGTTTTGTTTTGGGGTTTTTTGTTGGTTTTTTTTGTTGTTTTTTTGTTTTTTTGTTTTTTTTTAACGCTTTCATTTTCAGTTCTCAATGTCACTAACAAGGGTGCAGGGTTTTCCTGCACCAGCAGACAAGCCGTGCCACTTCCCCATTTCAAAATTACCTTTTCAAGTTCTGCATCCTGGAATGGGAACTGTCCAACTATTTTCTTATAAACTTCTTCATTTGTCACTGGGATGGGACTGTAGTTATCTGAATCAAGTATATTTCTAAGAAAATAAAAGAAAAGTTATAAAGACAGCTCTGTAATGACCGACCAACCACAACTTGCAGATTTACTGCTCAGTCAGGAAGCACTTAAGAAGTAGGTGCCAGTCTCAGGTGTGATTCCCATGGGCCTAAACTTCTGCCCGTGTTTGTGACTCTTAAAATCATCTTTGCTGCAGCTGGGCTCAGCAGCTCTTCCAGCTTCCTGCCTTCAGCCTGTGTAAAGCCATAACCAGAGCTTAATGGTGATTTTAGTCCAGACTGGAGCTTCAGCAGCAGCCCCTGGTAAAGCCCAGGTGAGCTTCAGTCCTACGTGACTTGAGGAAGATGGATGCTGAGCTACCGGGACATTGACAATCCTCCAGCATCTTTTCCCAATGCCCCATGCTCTGAGACACCCCAGTCCTCCTGGAATGTCCTGGAGGACCATCACAGGATGAGCTGGTGGCTCCAGGGCACAGCATGGGACCCTGCATAATATATCATGACCTACCTGCGGGCAACTGCTCAGCTCACAGACGTGCCTACAGCAGCAGCATAGGGATATGCCACTGATGTCCTGAGATACATGTGGCTCAATGTTGGAGCAAGGGCACAGTAGCACTACTACACCACCAGGTTTTTGCATCCTTCCATCTATCAACTGTCAGTGTGAGCTCCATAATGAAACCATAACCTTATACCCCTGGGATGTAAAACTTCTGGTCTACACTCATTTATTGCACAGATTTCACCACACACAGGATCCTCCAAACTGTGTATAAATTGGCTCTGGTCCAAGGAGAGCCCAGACTAAAGCTTACTGTTGCCCAAAGTTTAAACATAAGCTTGCCACCATTCTCTCAAAAGATTTTATTTATGGGCCAAAGCTACTCTGTAAGGTACATCTCATTAGTTTGCTTAAAGAGCTTCTTACCTGAAAACTCCTGACCATTTCTTGAGCAGGGTTTCACTATACTGGTCTTGAATCTCCAACAGCATGTCAAAGAGCTGGTTCACTGGGAAGCCGTAGCCCTGCAGCAAGGTGGGTGAAGAGAGCAACTTCAGATAAGAAAAAGTCACCAACAAGCAGTTGAAGATTATTTTCTCTATTTAACTGGGAACACGTGGGCAAGTTGTCCCCTACTGCCACCGCAGAAGTGAACCGTGCTGGTGGAGAGATTTCAGTGGTGATTTACCAAGGCGGTAGGATGAAGGGCTAATTAAAGGCTGGACTGGGCGCAGGCATGAGGCACAAGGGCTTGGCATGGTGGCCAAGGCTTGACCCTTGCCCATGGGCTGGCCACCCCACATACAGAGTGAACCAGGCTGTCTATCAGGTGCTACAACTCATGCACCACAATGTCAAAAAAGAAGCTGGACCAAAACAGCAAGCTGACATCAGCCATTTAACCCCGCTGACGGACACCATCTGCAAGCAGCCCAACTGTTGAGCAAGATAAAGAGCGGTCACCAACAGCTGCATACCTGGAGTGTATCTGCAAAGAGGACGATGAGGTTCTTCAAGTCTAATACCAAGCTTGGGTCTGAGCAGTAGGACTGCAAAGAAGGGGAGAAATTAAAATATGGTTTTAACTGCAGCTCGCAGGAAAAATATTGCCCTCAGCCCTCCTGCGTTATCATTTGAGTGGTAATAAATACATAGGCATGCTATACAGTCTTATGATCAGCAGCTTTTATCCTAGAGCCCATGCCCTTACGCTATACAGGGCAAGGGAAAGCACACTGATAAGGATATCTCTTCTCATAACACACTGCTCTTGAGACTCTCCATGATGAATAAGGATTTCAGTTGCTCTAGAGATACCTGAAGTGTCTCTAAGATTACCCAGGAGCTGCTGGCGAAGCGAGAGGAGATGAAGCAAATCAGCGCGCTGTCATACCAAGACGACAGCAGCGCCTCTCATTTAATATTTAGTGTGCTGTGTCTGATGGTAATGAAGCATCGCAGCGAGGCATCCCCAAGCCCCATGCGACGGCTGCATTGCTAAGTGGTTCAGGCTGAGAAAAAACATGCTGCATGCCTGTATTTCAGCAACATCAATGGTCAGAGCTACAATACAAGTATTTATGGCGGGTCAGGACACTGCTCAAAGCCCTAAAGACACAACTCAATGTAGTGACAGCTCTGTTCGGCCCTTTGGAGCCACCCCATGTTACCCACAGGCTTCATGTGCTCTCTGGACACAGCAGACAACCACCATATGCTGAAATATGTAAAGTTTCAGACACAGTCTTACCAAATATAGAATCAGTGATCATAAGCTGGAAAGACAAACAGATTTAAAGCCCACTGGAAACTCAAGGAGGAATGACACCATTAATCAATGGGAAAGACTGGAAGAGACACATTTTCCATTTCACTGTCCAGAAAAGAAAGTCAGAAAGAATGATAATGCCCTAAAGCTATCAGAAGTGATAAAAGATGTCTGTGTCTTCAGCAAGGAAGAAAATCCAGGAACAGGTTTGGCTGAACAGGAAGAACTGAAACAGCCTCACCAACAGAGAGTCCTCCATCAAGTCTCAATAGCAATATGGGATTGACAGCACTGATCTATATGGGAGGTGTAGGCTGAGCAGTGCATAGAGATGACTAACGACCACAGTAATAATGTTGAAAAATCATGTAACATTTCATGATTACTGAAGAAAAAAGCTCACCTGGCAGCCACGTCATGCATTAAGTTTGGCTTCACTTAAAACAACTTGTCATGGCAACAAAGTTGGTAAAATTGAAAACCACCATGTTTGTACCTGGCTTACTCTCACGGCTTTCACCTAGCAGAAAACCCCACTTAAAAAGAAAATAAACGCAGCTTTACAACCTAGCAGTGTGTACATCTCTGTGTTTATCCTCTTTTGTAACAGAAGCTTAAGTGGAAGGAGGCAGCTTTCCAGTCAACCCAACTACCATGCCAGACAGAGCCAGAGCACCCTGGGAAGCCTCTGTGGACCCTCATACCAACGAGCTCCAGGTCCATCAAATGGATTTTCCCCACTTGCACAGGTAAAGCCAAGCAGCTCTTCAGCAACACTGCCCGTGGGCGACCCTGCTAAGCTAGGGCACGTAAATGCACAAACTCAGTGTGGTTTGCAGCGAACAGCGTATTGTGTCTCCATGCAGAAATTTTCGTTTTTTCTCAGCAAAGAGAAAGACATTGTTATCACTTGGGTACCACCACACGCATGTTACATCACACTAGATGCAGGCCTTCACCGATACGACACCGCAGCATCCTCATGCTTTCAGGTGGCACTGCTGCCCAAGAGCAGCAGTGGGATTTCAGTAATTTAATACTTTATTTTTCCTGGAAAAAATGGCCCAACAATTTGAAAATGGACATGTGGAAAGTCATTAATGCTTTTCCTTTTATAGTCAAAAGCATTTTTTTCATCCTGTTAACCAAAAGTGTTTTCAGAAAACTCCAGCGCTCCCAGCTGAACCAGTACATTATATCAGGTCATACAAAACTGGAAAAAAAAGTGTACACTTTTTGCAATTGGCTTTGGGGTATTTTTATTTTTGCTCAAGCGGAGAAATACCAAAGTGACAAGCAATTTTTCCAAACTTCTTTCAATATTAAAACATTAGAAATCTATTTAGTGTCTTTTTACGCACAACTGATTTGCAGTTTGATAGCAGCCCATTCACTGCCATGAACTTTGACAGAGTATCAAACAGGGTCATACTTCAGTGTGCCAAATAGACGGTTTTTTTCCCCAGTTTCCTGGGACAAACTAACTCCCTCTGCTGGCGCTTTTCAAAAGTCATCAGCGAAGCAACGGGAAAAATATCAAACCACTACTTTCTTCTTTCCAGTCCCCCAAAACATCGAAAGTTTGGTACAGGGAAATGCAGTGCATTAAGAGGCAAAAGAAGCTGGAAAAAGCTTTTGGGGGGAATAGCAGTGTATCTTCATGTTATGGTTTTAAATGGGGTCATTAAAAAAGAGGCAAAACAAAGAATACTACTGTAAAAGCCGGTGTTTTCAGCATGTCAACTTATACTCAAGCAACAGCTGAGTGACCCGGGGCTTTTACTTACTGAATGTGTTCTTAGTGCTGCAATAGTTTTTGATAACGCCATCTCCCACAGCTCATCAATATAGGCTCTATTTACCAAGCCCTGCGTTGTATGCAAGATGTGATCTTCAACTACAAAAAACCTAATGGAAAGGAGAAAATGGCACTGTTATCAAAAGTTACAGGTTTCGAGACATCAAAAGGGATCTGCAAAACCCACATGTGAGGCACGCGCAACATTTGCACATCCACAAATCTCCAGAGCAAGCTCAGATATCTGTATCTTTATTCACCTACTTTTAACATCGCAATATATGATGTTTCACTGTATTATAGAAGTGAGCTAAAGCACAGTTGCTCATAGTAATGCAACTCTGTATATACAAAGGCAGAATTTCCCCTCTCAAAGTTCTCCACCCCATTATTTGAACAAGAACTACTGATTAAACTCTGCTTCAGCCAGCAGCAATCACATTACAATTGGTTAACTGCAAGGAAAAATACTCTCTTGTGCCCGGACACACCACACGCTCACAACCATTTAAAGGCAATCAGTTCACTCCAATCTCCAGTTATCAAACGTTCTGGTCAAAAAGAAACAGTATTTTTCAGGGAGCAAGCATGGCATTGTACATTTTAAACAGCCATGCACAAAATTTCAGCTGTGTAATGTCAGGGAAATCCAGCCCAGGAGCACGGAGCTATATGAGAAGGAGAACAGCACACATTGTATTTGCAATGGTAACAATTAGATGTTGAAATTACTATCTTCAGCTGAAAAAATTTCAACATCATACCCTATCTTTGCTAGATTAGCAGTCTTAGGTTGCCTCCTCTTAAAGCTTGGCTGGTTTTGGAAGACCCTTGTCAAATTTGAGGGCCGTAATAAGAAGCTCATAGGAATAGAGGCTTGAGAATCACCTCTTTTACCAGGACAAATAATCAAAGAATAATTATCAAATATTAAAGAATAATTAAGGTAGACAGCCTATTCATCTCATTAGTGGGGCAAGTAGATACACATAGTCTACAGAGATTGTTTATCCTCAGATTCCCAGAAATGCACTTGCTGGTACAAGAGCTGGCAGGTCCCTCCAAGCTCCCACCAGTGACACGGCAAAGTTCATGGGTGCTATAAAATACACTCTAAAACACTTAAGAAGCCCAAACCACCTCTCCCCCACCCAGCTTTTGGCTTGCTTTAAAGGACCCTCAAAAAGATCAACATTCCCCTCCTCTCTCTTTCTTTTTGGGATCCTCGACAACACAGCACACACATATTTAGCAAAAATGTATATAAAAAGAACACCTACCCTACAATTTGATTAAAATACTTCCTGTAGCCATCTAAAGTTTCATGCTGCAACAAAGAAAAAAGTGAGCAAAGATTAAAACAAAGGTGGCCAAGAGCAATTGGAAATAAATTAGAGATCACCCACCAGCAACAGCAAGCCCGGAGATAACCCTCTGCTCCTTTATTCAGCAGAGCAGGTTTGGGCACTGCAAGTAGGGGACCATCGTACCATGTTTGAAGGAGGCTGCAGGACCAATCTGGCTTGTTTTCTTCTCTGCTTCCTATAGTAGTTCTCAAAGGTTTCTCTGGCACCCTGGAAAACAGAAGAGATTACTTCAGGTAATTATAACAGTTTGCATTAACTGTTAACTTGCAATACGGTGCATTTAAGATGCAAATTTCATTTTCCTCCAGCACATCTGTGCAACACTTTCCTGCAAAACGCAATCCAAATATCAGAAGATAAAGAATTTTACGCAAAACATCAAGTCAAACAACTGTTCGGGTATAAGAAAGAGTATCTGATGAACTCCATTTTCCAGTATCACTGTGCAGATGTGTGCAACCAGTGTGCAACCAACTTCTTTACTGGAACATAACATGGACAAACATCAGATTTACTTAATCGTGGGGGCAGTGAAACAACCAATTTCTAGTGTGACCAAAAAGAAAGAGGGGACAAACAATGCCAGAAATTATTCCACTGATTCATGGGCAGAGTGATGCAAAGACACAAATATCAGGGAATTCTGGATAAACACGCTTGTGTGGGTTATAGCAATTTATGAGACCGGTCTATATAGCTGGGAAAAATAAAAAAAGGTTTTGATCTCTTTCTTGCCCTACTTTACTGTGGGTCTGAGCCTCCAGTAGAGAGCCAGTTAGTCCTGAAAGCCAAAGAGCCAATTTTGCCTCCATGGGCATCACCCACCCATGCTGGGTGCTGCAGCAAGGACCTGAACCACTCCTCTGAGGGCTTCTTCTGTAGGTGGCTTGTTTTACCAAGCTAGGCTACATCTGAGCATCCCCACCCAGGCAATAAACCCAAGAGGATCTTCAAATGCCATCGACCTGCTGAAGCATTCAGACGTCTGCCTACCGCCCCGGTCCCCTAGGCTATGTAAAACCTTGCCGTTTTATCCCTGCCTGTTCCTCCCTCCTCCACACCCACACTGTTTTATGTCTGAAATTGGATTATAAACACTTCAGAGAAGGGACAAGGTCTTGCTTTGAACTGTTCTGAGCCAAAAAAAAAAAAAAATCTCATTTGGAATTCACAAAACAAACAATGCGCAACAACAAATCTCACCTGAGCAAGGTACCAGACATGAGCCTTCTCTACTACAAAAAATAAATTAATTAAAAGAAAAACCTGATGCTAATTTAATGATTCTCCAACTACTACGGCATTATACAACCAGGCTGCCTTAGGATGCCCTCAACTGAAGGGGTCTTATGAAACATCTGCAATGAACCCTTGGGGAGCTGTAGCCCGACTTGCTCCTTGTCTTCTACAAGCTGGAGCTCGAGGCTTAAGCAAAAATTCAGCCTTGTTGAAGTACTCAGCAGCTCTCCCACCTAGTACTGCCCTTCTGAATGGTGCTAAGATTCTTTAAAAAAAACCCCTCTTGTGACCATGCACATGCACTGCAAAGATTATTCAGATTTATACTGTGAATTTTGTCTCTGAATTATACTTTTTATCCTAGATGAGTATCAGGGGTGCTTAGCACAAGCAGCTCCCGACTCATGCTGGGCACATCCATCCAACCATTGGTGGTGCCAATACCCTGGCAAGGGACAAATCTCAATCAGGTATAAATCACAGCCTCTCTCCTGCAATCAAGTGAAGTATCAGCTTGAACCTGCAAGCAATCTGACATTTTAAGAAAGCTTTTAAGAAATAGAAACTGTCCAGGAACCAGAGCTTCCATGTCCTATGTCTTCTCAATGCTCTCAAAAGCTGTTTCCCTCTGGAAAGGAGAGGGTCACAAGCCAGAAATCAGTGATCTACAGGTTAGACCGCAAACAGGGAGGATTATTAGAATTTTTTATCAAGCTAAGCATTTAGTTTGATTAGTCCCTCTTCAGAGGACCTACAACCAGAGAGTTCCGACCTCCCTTTGAGCTCCTCTCCCAGGCTTGGGAACTGTTTTTTCTCAAGATGCTGGTTTTACCCATCTCCTCTCAATTTTGGCAGTGCCACAGAAGAACCGAGACAAAACAGGCTGTCCCACTCCCACCTCACCACTGAAAGGACAAGACTTAAGATATTTATTAAATCCTACTGTGCCTCATCTCTCAATACCTACATAAGTGGCACAAAACCCCCTGATCATCTCCATCCTGATCATGAGAGCAACTCATCTCTGGTAGCATTATTGAGATCTTCGAGTGAAGCTCCTCGCTAACCTAGAGCAGCCTGCTGCTACCAACGAATTTGTGGTGCAAATTCAAAACTGAAGGCATTTTTTTCCCCATTTCTTTAATAAATTAATCTATGTCTCCATCAAAGGCAAGAGCACACCAAGGTTCAGCCACAGCCACCAGCACAGCCACCACAGCCATCAGTCACTCACGCCAGCCACCATGCTTAGCTTTATGCAGCATCATATGGAAGTTGGCAAGTAATTAATTCCCCATTACTGAACACACACAGACTGCCATTTCCCCAAGCTACACAGGCGAGATTTTGTGGTGACCTCCAGGACTTACTGGAAACTTGGAAAGCAGTTCATCAGGAGCAGGAAGCTGGTCTGAAACCAATCAGCCCTTTTAATACCAGATTTTGAAGATTTGTGCTAAGACTACACCACAGCAATTTAGTTCAGCTGACATCACTTTCCCTCATCCCTCCAACTGAGCTCCAAGAAGAGATCCTCCCTGCTCACCCCACCCTCACCATGCATTTCTTCAGGAAAGAAAGGCCAAAAAATCATCCCACATGTGGCTCCACTTCCAGCACAGCTCTGCCCGTCCTCCCATCTCCCTGGGCTTTATCCTGTAGCTGTTCACCCCATTAAAAAACTTCTCTATTTGATGCGTCCACTTTCCCACCAGTTCCTCAGGAGCACGCACAGGATGGTGGAGGTCACCAAGTGCTGGGAGAGGCAGAAGCCACCAGCTTTTGGGAACAGGGCAGCAGGAGGCCTACATCCCCACAGCTGAAAACTGAAACACCTGTCTCCATCATTCAGCTCCTTCGGCACTAGGGACAAACCACAAGCCAGGTTTCTATCCCTATTTTACTGATGGCTTTGGGGAAGATGAAGAATTTGGACCAACTTCATAATGCTCTCTGAAAATTCAATTATTTTGGATTGCACTTTCAGATGAAAAAAAATGTTTTCTACAGACACAAGAAGCAAGAGTGATCCCAGCTCGGCTGGAGATACCACACAAAGGATTCGCTATAAACCTGCCTCTCAACCTTGGATGGAAGCCCCTTCAGCCTCACAGGGTGCTTAGAAGGTTTTAGATGCCAGGTCGCCCTTGTTCCAACCCAACAAATGGCTTTAATTGTAGTAGAAGAGAATGAACAGCAAAGACCTTTGAAACCATTCCCAAAAAATGTAGACCATATTCACATTTTAACAGTTTCCCTAAAATTTATGGCCTAGAGATCTGCCAATTTGACCAAAACCATCTCCCTCCCAATGCACTGTTCCCTGTATTTTCTTTCGTGGGCCTTCTTTGACTGCCCCAAGAATTAGGGACTCTCTCATGAGAGGTTACCCCGACAAAAAGCTGCTCGTCCCCAAAAAAAATCTCTCAACACTACCCACATTTTTCTTGTGCACAATTTTATCCTTTTCTCTTAAGTGCATTCCTTCCTCATCTCCCTAGATCTTTTCATCGCTCACGTATTATATTCTCCTAAAAACAGGAAGTCTTTCTTCCCCTTGGTAGCACTTTTAGCTCAGACCACCCAGTTTCCCACATTTGACCTATTTAAGACTATACAACTTATCAGGTCCTCAGATAACACTACTCCTCTGTACTCTATTTTTTAATACTGTTTTCCTCTGAGTAAAAAAAAAAAAAAGCAAAAAACAAACAAACAGAAATAAACCACACCAAAAAAGTATCAGAAAAGACCACGAGACCCTGTGTTTTATAGTCTACTCATCTGAAACACCACACAGTATTTACACTTCGATCCCGTTCTCCTCTCACAGCCCCACACCTGATACTTTTTCACATTTAACCAATCCCATCCTTACCTCTAGTTTTCAAAGACAATATTTTGGGACCCAAATGCTGTACACAAGGTATCATGAGAAGTGATTTTGAGAGCATCACTAAGCCACTCGGGCTGTGCAGGCTCAGCCTCATGTAGCAGCTACCAGAAGTGCAGGCAGGTATGCCAGCATCTGCTTAGGCATGGAATCAACTGAATAAAAGATTTGCTCCAAAATTTCCTGAGTGTTTCAGCATGGCACAGCACCCAAGCTGAACACCACCTTCATCAACCAATGCTTCGATGAAAATAGCAGACCGGAGCTGACCTGCACACAAGCACATAAGCTTGGAGCAGAGCTGCGCACGCACGTGCCCTATTCCTGCTCTCCATGTCTGGTTGGTGGGAAGAACTCCCAACTTTTTTTTCTTTCTTTTCCTTTCCCCTAAAAGCAATGATTTTACTCTGTAAAGACGCATTGTACCTGCAACATTTTTCTTTTTCAACAAAACCCATGATGCACATGGAGATCTCAAGTGGCACATAGCAGGCTTGAGAACGAGACCACTTGGGAAAGACTACTGAAGGAGCAGCTCCCAGCCCCAGCCTCTCATGGACTTCCAAATCCACCGCTGACCTTCTGTAGAAACAAGACACTGCTAATACATATCGTTACAGAGGCGGCATCCTTGCTCCTTATGGGTTTCTGTGAGCTCAACCCATAACTTTGAGAAATCAAGTACTCATGGTAGGGAGAGAAGAAGGAGGTCCCTTTCCTATTAATCTATTCAGTTTTAACGAGAATAGGTTTCACCCAATTCTCAATCTCTTTAAGCGAGCAGGAAGAATCCAGAGCTACGCTTCCAAACTACACATTTATTGTGAACACTGGTCCAGGAAAAACCCTCAATAATGCCTCATACTTTTAAAATTACCAGGCAGAACTTTCCTTCTCAAATTAGCTTCAGAGTTCACAGAGTTGGCAATGAGAGGCAGATAATTAAGATCGCAGATGAACACCACATAAGGGAAAACAGAATATGATCACAAGAATGCAAAAACAACAGCTGAAAAAAATCCCAAAAAGTTTCATAATTCAGGAGCAGCAGAAAGCTGAAAGCAAATCTGGCTGT